TGGTGTTGCAGGCCGGGGAGGTGAAAGGCGTGCAGCGGATTGAATGGGGACAGATCCTGACGGAAGCTCCAGCAGCATAAATCCGGAGGAAGCCGATTAAGCTAAGCGGAGAGACCCACTGGGACAGAGCAGAGGTTGGTCCATTGGCTCTTGCGGCCTCACAGAAACGGGCTGAGATCAGCGTGGGTCTGGCTTGTGTTCCCAGGCCGTGCACTGGGCAAGGGGTGGGAATCAGAGCAGGGTGCGAAGCAGGACTGGCTCAGGCTGCCTGGGAGTCTCAGCATTGCCGCTAACAATCTGGGAGGCACTGCGGATGCTGAACGCCAGCAAGGGCAGAGAAATCCTGCGAAGGCCCCTCGGGGCGACAGATGGGAGCAGGGAAAGCAAGCGAGGATCCCGTGGAAACCTGCAGCCGAACCCGTCTGGAGGGAGAGGCCTGGGGCAGGGCTGAAGGAGACCAGGGGGGGACTGAGAACTTGCAATGCGATGAGTTGGGGGCTGGGCCGGGCAATATGGGCCCCGGTCATCGCTGGAGGGGGGTGTGAAAGGCTGCCCTCCGGATTTCACTAGTGTAAGCCCCGGCCAATGACCTGGAGGAACACCCAAAAGCATCACTGATAAAGTTTGCAGATAACCCAAAATCGGGGGCGTGGTAAACAATGACGCGGACGGGTCCCGGATTGATTCAGCGCGAACTAGATCGCTTGGTCAGGGGGGCACAAGTAAACAAGATGCGTTTGAATACAGCCGGGTGTAAATATATACGTCGAGGAACAAAGTGTTGGGCATATTTACAGGAGGGGGAACTCTGCCCCGGGAAGTGGTGCCTCTGAAAACGATTGGGGTGGGGGGCCCTGGGGCGACCGCTGCTGAGATCCTGGGTCCCGTTTTGGTGCCCCCAACTCAGGAAGGATGCTGATAAACTGGAGAGGGTCGGAGAAGAGCCATGAGGATGATTAGAGGGTTAGAAAACCTGCCGTATAGCGAGAGTCGGTTTAGCTTAGCCAAGAGAAGGCTACAGGGTGGCTTGATCCCAGCCCATAGGTATCTCCATAGGGAACAAATATTTAACATGTGCTCTTGGGTCCAGCAGGCAGGGCTAGCACGCTCCAATGGCTGGAAGTGGAAGCTAGACGGATTCCGACGGGATCCAAGGTGTGCATTTTTCAGTGAGGGTAATTAGCCATTGGAACAAATGCCCCAGGGCCCGGTGGGTTCTCCCTCACTGGCAATGCTGAAATCCAGACAGGCTGTTTGTCTGCTCTGGGAAGGGTCTGGGGGCTGTTCTCCATCCCGGGCGATCCAGGGATCAGACCCTTCTGGCCTTGCAGGGGGTGAACGTAGGATCTCCCCAGCCTTTGCCATCTCCTGCTCCCCTTTCTCCTCCAGCCGCCCCCACTCACCTGAGCCCCAACCCCCCCATCTCCCACGTGCCCAAAGCAGCCGGCTTCCAAACACCCAGGGAGCAGATGGTTTCCATGGCAACGGGCCGAATGACGCATTCCCAGCACTGCCAGCCCCTCTCCCCTCAGGGGAACCTGCCACCGCGCTCTGGCAGAGAGGGGGAGGGGGCGGTGATTGGCACCTGCCTTGGCGAGGGGAGCGGCAGGGGCCGGGCGCTGGCACAGAAAGGGGCTGAAAGCATGCACAGCTGTGACACCGTCACACACACAGGGACACGCACACGCACACAGAGGTGCACACGCACGCATTCACGTGCACACACGGACAGGTGCGCGTGCACACACACACACACGCTCCTATGCAAGCACACCTGCTTGTGTCTATTCACACCCCCTTCCCCTCTCATCCTGCCCCCATCTGGCCCATGCACCTCGCCTGCCCCGTTCACCTCACACAGGGGTTGTCGTTTGGGCAAATCACTTCCTCTCCCCCCCTTCCCCCACGCCCTGCGTCTCTCTCCTCTGCTGTGGGTTTGTCTAGGACAGGGGAATCAATCTGGACTCAGGCAGAGGGTGGATTCACACAGCTGTCCCAGAGACAGTGTCCCCCCGGGGAACTATGCCGGGCTAGCTACGCCGGCCGGTCCGGGGCAGGGACCGTCTCTCCCTGTGTGTCTGAGCAGCGCCTGGCACCCTGGGCCCTGAGCTCAGCTGGGGTCTCCAGAAACATGAATAAATAACACTGATCTGCCCCCGGGGGTTTTTAAGGCCACATCACCTCAGTATTGACCCCCTCACCCCCTGCTTGCCCTACAGACATCACCCCCATACATTGTCCCCCAGAGGGGCATATTGCACCCCACTCTGACACACCACGCCCCCCTCCAGCTAGCAGTATGAGAGGTCTAGGTGTGCCCCCCCCCGGCTGAGCCCTGATACTAGGCTGATGTGTGTGGGGGGGTGCAGTGCAAGGCATCCATTTCCTGGGTGTAATGCTAGCAGGTTCCCAAAGCTGATGCCTGTGGAGGGGGGACATCACTGCATGCTGGGAGACACTTACCCTGGGCACCATGTGCCACCCTGGATCAGTGTCCCTGCCCAGCCGGGCCGAGGGGACAGGTAACCTCCTCACCCACATCACCTGAGAGCCGGCCTCTGCCTCCTAGATTCCCAGCGGGTGCCAGGCGCTGTTCCTGGCTCCGGGGCCCTGTGCACATTCCCAGCCCCAGGCTCCTATAGAAACACACACACACACACACACACACACACACACACACACTCAAATGCATCTGAGCCCCTCAGACACTCCCGCTCCATCTCTCTCACACACCTGCCCTG